CAGCAACTAATAACATATTCAGGATAGTTTTTAGTACTTTCTCTCTCTCTCTCTCTCTCTCTCTCTCTCTCTCTCTCTCTCTCTCTCTCTCTCTCTCTCTCTCTCTCTCTCTCTCTCTCTCTCTCTCTCTCTCTCTCTCTCCAAATACTCCGAGGTTTGTCCATCCAATAAAAAAAAATCACCGTTCTTTTTAATAGGATCCTAATTTCTCGAAATAAATTGTTTTCGTCTACTGAAAACGTCTTTGAAACATAGACTGTGAAACAGGTGTCTACAAGTTTCCCCCCTCTGGCTACCTTGAGGTGTTTCCGGGGCTTAGCGTCCCCGCGGCCCGGTCGTCGACCAGGGCTCCTGGTCGACGTACATTGATTGGCTGAGACCTATGTCTCCTTAGGTGTTAGTCAGGTGTGTGGAGCCGCCTCTCAAATTAAACAAGTACAGGCAATAAAAGGTTTTCCTCGTAGCATCTAAGATCCTTGACCCTTGACCCTTAGGTGGGTCAGAAACAACCTCAAAGAACTGGATTCTGAGTTTATTGTTTTTTCTTTTCTTTGGGCTGTTGGTTCCTATCGGTTTCTATAGAATAGAAACCAATATCCCTGGGCTATTGGTTTCTATTCTAGTGTGTGTGTGTGTGTGTGTGTGTGTGAGAGAGAGAGAGAGAGAGAGAGAGAGAGAGAGAGAGAGAGAGAGGGGGGGGGGGGGGGGGGGGGGGGGGGGGGGGGGGGGGGACATAATTAAGACACATTTAAGTTAGGTTAAGTTGCAAAATAAGTTTTGGCCCAAATTCAAAAGTTTGCCTGTTGAGCTTTTAACTTAAGTTAAAGCTTTCGAAAAGCTGAAATATCAACTGAGATTTAACGAAAATATTAACGAACTATCTAATTTTTAAATTAATAATTATTACCAGCATCGACTTTCTTCCCCTCCCATTTAAAATTCACATTTTGTTAACCACGAATCTCTCAGCACGTGTGGATATATGATATCAACAACCCCCGTGATATCTACCAAACAAGCCTACGATGTCAGCCGACGAGTCAAAAGCACGATAGCCGATCTCGCAACCCTGTTCTCTGGCATTAGCGAGTTGAATTATTCATAATGTTAATTTC